CCGACTATTACGTCTCGACGTCTTTCGACGAACTCCGCCTCGGGGAAACAAAAATAGACGTTCGAGCTAATACCTCTTCTTCTTCATCAACATGTATCTTTTTCCTTTTTCTACTTTTTCCAATTGTCTTTCTTATTGCCGCATACAGATTCCTTCGCGAGTTGCCTCATCGCGAGCCTTGCGGTTCGTCGTGATACCGCGTATTACGCCGGGATCCACGGAATCCGCAGGAAACTAATAAATTATTCCGGACTCATTCTAAACTTTCGCGTCTTTCATCATTCGCCAAACGCCGTCCGTTTCCCCGTCTCGCTCGGCCTCGCGGCAATCGATCGGGATCCCTCCGGAAATTCTCTCACGTGGTTTTCCGCGCTGTCCGCCACCCTTTCCCTCCACCTCTCCACCCCGGGATGAAAGCCCGGACTTTGGACCCCTGTCGTCGCCTGGAGCGAGGGGAGAGGGTGCCGCGCTTCGGCCTTGTCGGAGATGCGCGTCCGCGTACGCGGCGCGGAGAACCTGGTAGGAGAAAACGCGCGCGGAGCGGAACGCTCCGTCGGCGTCGTTTCAAGTTCCAAGTTTCACCGAAAGTCCGAACGAACGCCGCGTCAGCTCGACTCGGCTAACTCGGCTAACTCGGCTTTGTTACTTTTCGAGACCTGCGCGCGATTTGGGAAATCGAACCCGATCGCTCTCGCTCGAGCCACGAGCCCAGTTGCGCCAACGCGGTCCAGTCCGGTCCGGTCAGGCGCTGTAGCGAGGCGAGATTCTCGGATGCGCGGTGCTTTCGACAGTTTCTCGTCCAAGCGCTTAGCCGGCACAGCGACCGCGATCTCGTCCCGTCGGCGCGGCGTCGGCGTCGTTCCCGTTCGGTGCGGCGCGATCGCACACGTGTCCCGATCCCGGTCGCGATTCCTTATTCTCGCGAAGACACGAGCGAGGACCGGCGCGGATCTCGTAGGTGTAATCCGCGGCGCGCACTCTTTTCCCAAGTCAAAGTCGGTTGAAAGTCTCTTCGAAGACACCATCACCTCGATTCGTTCGATTCTTCAGCTTACTCGCGACCGTTAGGTAAAACGCTCGTAGGACCTGACACGTAGAGGGGAAGATAAACGTCAAGGATATTTATGATCGTGTTATTCCGCACGCGGATGTTACGTTTCGAAGTTATTTACCGCGCGCCACGTTTATTTCGTACCACGTCGGAATTTCTTTCCCCTCACGTAGTATCGTGATAAATTCGTGTCTGTGAATCTGCTTGTAAGCAGGTACAGGATATCGCTTACGATATACTTGTCTCGTGTCAAGTGTGCGTGAACGTGCTGCCAAGAAGGACGAACGTGTCTCTCTTGTGCACGTCTCTTCCTTTTCTCCCGCGGGCCAAATGTCGCTCATCTCCGTCATCGAGCCAGTGGATGACAAAGGTGCGAAAGAACGAAACTCCGCAGACCCTCCGTTGTCCGAACTAAATGATTAAATATGAGGCGAACTTTGAGATAATTATGTAAATGACAAAAAGAACTTTTACGACACTGAAAACGTTATTGCTTCTGATGGAGGAAATAATAGAGATGCGCAAATTTATATTCGTTTGGAAAATATGAGTCTTTTAACACGTCGCATAAAATTGCACCGTTTTTCAAGAGATATGTTCACTTAAAGCCGCGAAAGAAAAAGAGATCGTTAATTGTCAAAAGAATTTTTAAGAGAAGAACTATTATTAATTTTTCAATTTTCAAGATAAATTTTCCTGGAAGTAAAGAGATTTATCCTTATCTTTTTTGTAAAATTATTATCCTGTTACCAGTAATTACAAAGAATCGTGTGTTGCACGCCAACAACGGGAAAATACGTCGTAATCGGGAAGGAAAACGGCAAAATACAATTTTTACCTTATAAGGAAATTCGTGTCTCTTGAATAAGAAAGATAGCATGGTATCGCGCTCAATATATCCGCACTCGACGTATACGGAGTGTTTCAAGACGAAAGGTCAACACTTGAGAAAGATGTCGACAGTATGTCATTGCAGAAAAAAAAGTTTCGACGAGATTTCCACCAGAAATTGCGAAGAGATCGAAGATGAAACTTTCGCGAGCTTCTGTCGCGTAAACTTTAAGTTAAGTTAAGGGATACTTTACTTCTCTGCCACACCATTCAAAATGCTAATGTCGTAACTCCGAAAATCGCCGTCTATTCCTTCTTCCTTCGTTGTCTGGAGACCGGATTTCGCTGTAGTTAACGACTGAACGAGCCAAGTAGATTTTTGCATTTGCATAATTGAACGATAGGCCATTCTTTTACGCGACTGCTTTTGCAATCCACGTCGAAGACTCGTTTCTCGAAAACAATCATCCAATTACGTAAATGTCCAACTTGACGTGGTAAACACGCATACATAATTTTCGTTTACAATAAAACACGGGCCTTTGTTTTATTATTGTTCACGACAGTTGTGCATTTCTAGATGCAAATCGCAGTCAACCAAATTAAAAATCATTCGCATTGAATGGTACTTGTAAGTATCAACTTTTCCTCTTGCTGCTTCTTCTAATTAATAAGAATCAGAGTAAGCTGCGCCATTCTTTGCCCACTTTAATTATATCTCGTTTTATATTTTATCAAATACGCGACGTTTAATCAGTTTAATTGATTTTTGTATTTTATTATATTTCCTTAGGTTAATCGAAACGTCTCTTTCGTATTTCAGAGCCACCAGTCGGTCGGTTTGCTTCCAGAAGGAAGAGCGTTTTCGCGGAGACTTACAATCCCGAGGATGACGAGGAGGATGACGGCTTCAAGGTACACATCATCTCTGTTATTGTTACTGTTCTACAAACTGTCACGCACGTTCCCGATAACGAGACCGCGCGAATGACGCCATCGTTTGCCGAGGTCTCGCGTCTGTATCTTTATCCAAAAAGAAGAGAAAAAATGGCCTGGACGACTGAGAAAAGAAGAGTCAAGCTGATTGAATAAATTACATGCCGATGTTACGATAAATTCTATCGATGCAATCACGCTAATGATCGTTCGATGATCTAATGATGCTCCATTGACTTAATGCTGCTCGAACAACGGCAGATTTGTCCGTCACAAAACGCCGTTTCTGGTCTCGACACGTCGCATCTCGCCGTCGCTTTTAGACCTTCTGTCATCAGATGTCGCAATGGATATTTTTTTCCAGCGTCGAAGCCTTCGGAAGCGTGCGTTTTTTACGCTCGTCACGTCCGAATTGGCGAAAACCGATACGTCGTCGATTGTAGCTGCGTAAATAATCGCCGAGACCGCAAAAAATGCCGAAGCGCGTCGCATCGAGACGTGATAAATTCTGTACGCGTGAATATAAAAGTGACGAAATTTCGACACGAGAACAACCAACGGATAAGGTCAAAATTTCCTCGAAGATAAAAATATCGGAATCGATCGTTCATTTTTGGCGCGATGCTAATCGAAGACCATTACGCGCTCTTACGTGTTTCGTTAATTATTTCCGTAGAGCTACGAGCGATTCTAAAATCGGTCGGCCCCCGAAGATGTGGCGCGAAGTAATCGCGCACGTAAAGAACAGGTTTATATAACATTCCGCACTATAGTACATTTGCACGTATATTCGTTATCGTCGGTATTTTTCGCTTCGACGAGGATTCGAGCGACGGTGACCAACGGCTCCGTCTTCGATACAGGAGCAGTTTAGGTCTTTTTTTTGGTGATGGCAGAAAATAGAGTCTCTCTCTCGTTACGAAATGTCGTTATACGCCGCGCATGTATATGTGTGTATATACACACACGCGGTACATAATGTATATATCACAGTCTATTAAAGCATAGCTGGCGCGCAGTCTCTCTCCCTCTCTCTCTCTCTCTCTCTCTCTTTCTCTTTCTCTCTCCCGCGGCCTGCTGCCGCGCGAGTGACGAAACGCGGACGAAGAGTTACTTTGCTCGGCGATGCGAGGTCGGCGATGTACCTTTGTGACGTCAGGCCTCGTGTTCGATAACCTGGCACGGAATGATTTACATGTATGTATGCATCATCGTCGTGTGTACGTATCGTACATATGCGCACGTGAATGAGAGAGAAAGGAACGTGCGCGGTGTATGTGTGTGTACATATGTATCTGTGGGGTAGTAAGGGGGTTTTGCGAAGGGTCGCCGGCGATGGGGTCGGGTTCGACGAGAAAGAGAGAGCATTTTCACAAAGACAGCCCTGGTGAATCCGATTATCGTCACCCCGTGGTGGCCGGTTACACGAAGAGGAAAATCGGCTATCTCTCTCTCTCCCCTTATAGGCCAGGCCGACCAACCGACCATGTTTTCTCTCCGCGTGCTACGGCTAGGACAATAGCAGAGAAAACTGGGACACTCGCGATTTTTAGAAAGGCCAAGACAAGACTACTTCGACGTGCGGACCTTCTTTAAGCGTTTTACGATAAAAGGGTGCATCGGGTCCGCGCGTTCTTCTTCTTCTTTAACGGTGAATTCCTCGGCCAATTTGGAGTCGATTTTTCCTCGACGAAGATGCCGAGGTGCTTAAAAGAAAAGGGCTTTTTGCGAATAAAATCTCAGGACACCGAATAGATAAAAAAAATCTCAACTAATTTCTTTGGTTAATAATTAAAATTATTATAATTAAAATTTTAACTTCAGACTTGGGGAGAATTAAAAAGAGATACAAGAACACTGAAGAGTTGGAGAGATAGAAAAATCAATTTCAAATATTGGCACTGAAAGTTTTGTCGTTAAAATGTAATACGCGCGAGAAACGGGACACCGTTCGTGCTCGGCGATGGAAAGAATATGCGCCGAATACGCGGCGAAATAACAGTTTTGCTGGTGGCAAACGGTTGACCCTCGACGAAGTTCTAATCGTATACGATACACGCGCCCCGGCCGCACAATGGCGCGGCAGATGGGACACATCGGTAATGGGAACGAGGAGTAACGGTTCCCTGCGAAATTGATCGTTTCTGTGTGCAACAATTGGAAACGATAACGAAACAAAAGAACCCGCCGCTCGCTTCGCTTGTGGAGAGACCGATTACCGCGTGTGCACTTGCCGCAAGCGAGGAAGTACGGCTGGCCACAATATAACGGCGCAAGTCGCTATCCAACGTGCGAACCAAGTTTTAAAGACGAATAATTTTTAATACCAGAGGCGCGAGCTTTTACGGGTGTAAACGAATAATGTAACGTGATATTAACCGCAGCTTCAGCGAGGGCTTTTCTGAAGAATGAAACTTTTTAACTCGAAGATTACAGTGATTATGCGCCTCGTTCCAGATGCTTTTAGACATTAAAGATTCTACATAAATATTAAACATCTTGTATTTTATCGTAAAGAAAAATACATATCAAAGGCTTTGTTACATAATTTTTATACAACTCGTGACGTTTTACTTATTAATACGTTCGCCAAGAATTCGAATTTTATTGCAAAAATGTAATATAACTTGATAATTCTTAAAATGTAATAAACGATGCGCTTTATCGCTGAAATAATTGTGGGAGATGTCAAAGTTCACCGTATCAAGTCTAGCATAAAGGGCAATATCTCAAGTTGTATAGTCAAACTATCGAATTTGCTCGTCGTAACATTTAAAGAGGATTGCACTCTCACAAAAGACTTCATTGCACAGTTTTCAGAAGTCAAAAATTCAATAATAACCCAGAAGGAACAAGCAATGAACATTGAACATTTTTAAATAGTCGATATAGTAAATGACAGCCAATAAATAAATAACTTTAAAGGTTTAATATATATTTAAAGATAATAATTATTATTTATGAATAAACGATGTTTTAATGCTGTTTAATAAATAGAGAATGAATGAAACATTGTACGTTTTGCACAATTTTCGCTTATTCAGATTCGAACTGTTAAATCTCTTTCTAATTATTCGTCAAAGGGAAAACTTTCTCGCGGAGACAACGCCTCGAAGAGGTGATGTCTCATTATATCATTCATTATACTAGTACTTTAACAGTGCTAGATTTAGAATTTCGTTTAAGCTGCATTTTATCTAAGCTTTATTTTGTCTTCATACAGCTCATTGATTTCAGATGGTCCATCCAAAGAGCGACGAGCAGCGACAAAGGCTCAGCGAGAGCGTCAAGAACATACTCCTGTTTCGCGCTCTAGACGAAGTAAGTTAAACCGAGTTAAACATAGTGTGTTCATCAGCCGTGATCGCAAATAGGCATACCTAGGTGTAACAGCGACTTGGTATATACCCGCGCCAGTTGGGCGAAATACCAAGAAATCCACGAATAATCTCTTATTAGGAGCAATCGGTTTTGTCAACAAGACGATTTGCATAATTGACGTATAATTGTTTTTCTCATTAGTGATTGGTTGGTGTATTCAAGTATAAATTACTGGCCATTATTTGACTATTAGATAATATTGAGCATTATAAAAAATACTTAGTTTTTTAATAGATTTTATTTTAATTTATTCAAATTTTTAATCTTTATTTGATGCACAGCACAATTACATATATTGAATTATGTAACATCGCAAATTGAGAACCGACGAAAACAGAATGTTAGTCTAAAAATTCTCGCTTGGCAAAAATCGATTTCGCGTTAGTCAAGAATCAATTATATTAAAAGGAAATATGTAATGATGAGACGCCCTCGTACACGTATATAAACATATTTATGTACGTAGAAGCACGTACATACATCGATTATCATCGCGATATTAACGTGACTCCCCCCTGCCTGCGTACTACAATTTTAAAGCCGATATTTAAAATCTCGGACGATAATATCGTGCTAAAACGTATTTATACGTGTATAATAAAATTATTTTTGCAGGAACAAATGGCGGACGTACTGGACGCAATGTTCGAAAAAACCGTTCAACCGGGAGACTTTATTATCCGTCAGGGGGATGACGGCGACAACTTTTATGTGATCGAGAGGTAATACTTTTTCTTTATATATTACAGTTAACGTATCGATAGGCTTCTCCCTTCAGCGGGAAGCTCCAGTGAACCAAGAGGTGATGCGCACAGTCGATCAGTGCTTTTACTCAGAGCTGAAAATATTCGAACAATAATGTTTAGTAATCTAATTATTTGATTGATTATTTTGTCGGAATTGGAAATCATTCAGACAAGAACATGAATGTATAATTACCTTACAATTTTCTATCTTCAATTTATTTTCAATAGCCTCTGTCGCATTTCGTGTTTCAGAGGAAAATTCGAAGTATACGTCAAAGATCCCACGACGAATACAGATAATCATATTCACACTTACGATAATCGCGGTGCTTTCGGAGAATTGGCCCTTCTGTACAATATGCCCAGAGCAGCCACTGTCAAAGGTATCACGTCTGGCACACTCTGGGCCATGGACAGGCAAACCTTCCGACGTATTCTTCTTAAATCCGCGTACAAGAAACGTAAAATGTATGAGAACCTTATTAATAGAGTGCCGATGTTGAAGTCTCTGGAGGTAAATATTATGTAGTTATTTATATAATTATTTTTCCAAGAGATTTATAGAATATATTTGTGTTTTTTAAAAGTTTAAATAGCTCTTGAGTTTGTATTTTAAGATTAAATATAATTACTGCGTATCTTGTTTATTAAAGCTATTCTTTTTCTTTAATTAAAAAAAAATATTCAAGTACAAAGAAAATTACTCTTTAAAATATCAGCTCTTACAAGATTTAAATTGTAAAATATATTAAATTGAAAAATCTTCCAGGCTTACGAGCGGATGAATTTAGCGGATGCCCTTGTACCGAAACAGTATTCCGATGGCGAACAGATAATTAGGCAGGGCGACACCGCAGATGGAATGTACTTCGTCGAGGATGGCGTCGTCAGGATCACCAGACTCGGCGAGCACGGCCGTGAAATTGAGGTGCATTTATTTATATTATACATTAATCCGATTCCCCGGGAAACGATCCGATTACGCTGGCGACGAGGGCCAAGAAAATTCTCTCCTTACTTAACTCGGCCACCTTTAATATCCTGCAGATTAATCGTGTTCCGGCTGGCGGTTATTTAGGCGAGCTGGCACTCGTGACGCATAAACCACGCGCTGCTTCGGCCTACGCTGTGGGAAACATCAAACTGGCGTGTAAGTATATTTCATTACTGCCTACGATTCCTAAATTGATAGGTAATCAATAACTTTGCGCCGAGTAATTGCGGATATCGATATTCACCGCGGTAATCGGGCTTGTTAAATGACAGAAGATGGTTGTGATGTGATATCTTTCTCTGCGCATTTAAATCTATTTCGAAATTTTTTGTCTACAGGATGTCACATTTTAATGAATTCACAAAAATGACAATTCTGTATGTCTAAAGTAATTATTTTATTTATTCAAACGGTCATTTCTTACACACAGTTCTGGACGTTGAAGCTTTTGAACGTTTGCTTGGCCCGTGTATGGAACTTATGAAACGTAATATCGACGATTATGAAGAACAACTAGTGAAAATTTTCGGCAGCAAAACCAACATCTCTGACATTCGATGAACTGTTTCTGGACAAAGCTACGTCGCCATGCGCTGTACTAAAGGATGCGACACTTTCGTACAGCACGTAATGTATAACGAGCACAAAAGAACTTGTACCACCTATTTCTGAATCTCATCCCGCGTGTTTCGGGTATCATCTCGGAATCAACAACTGTTTCATATGACTGTTCACTTAGACGTATACCTATTAAGATTCGTCGATAATAGTTACCAAGTTTATACTTACGGCACACATTGAACAAAGCTATAGGCTGCTCGATTATGTGCGCGTGTATGACGTAACGAGACGGTATTAATGACTATTCTCTAAGACTGTATTGGATCAAAAAGGGAGTATTAGTGCATTCTGTCGCTCGCGCTCGATCGTTTGTGAAATGAATATCTTTTATTTATTATTGCTCCAGTAAAAGATTGGAATATAATATTTTCAAGTCTAGAACCCACATGGACATTATACTATTTAACTTATCCCCGGAATGATTCATTATCAAGTTTATCTCAATGTATTCAATCTATATGCTCACAAAATTTGTGTATACTCTCGTGCATTATCCATTTTTAAACAAATCAGCGGCTACATTTATAAAACATAGTAGGAGTATAGAATATTCGAAATTGAATGCTCTTCTAACGTTACTTTCTGGCAAAAGATATATTACAAGAGAAATGACTATATTAGTAATTGAATATTGACACAAATCTCTTGCAAGGTTTCTACGAAATAGAGTAAAGTGCATATTTCGGATCAGATCCTAATTCGGATCAGCAAATTTGAAATGCCTCTCTAGCCGACTGTACCTATCATATATGGATTTTTTTCACTAATTGTCTATAGCGATAAGGGATAGCGAAAATATAGACGATAGGGGAAAAAATCCACATATGATAAATACAGTCAGCTAAAGAGGCATTTCAAATTTGCTGATCCGAAATATGCACTTTACCCTACCTAATATGCATATCATTCTTTCAAAGATAATGAAAGTAACATTGCCATTTTTAATGAGAAAGAACTGTACAATATTCTTTGATACATCCATTTAACAATGTAATATCTTGATAAAATATCAGGTCAGACAATCAAGATTTTGTATATTATTCGCGGCGAGTAATAAATACGCACTTTGCGAATAAATATGCACATATACATACACAAAGAGGTATTACACGTAACGCGCACATAGTGGTAAAATAATTTTTTAATTTATAATGTTACTTTAATTTTATTTTATTTATAAATAGACACTCGACTCTTATGTATGAATTACTTTTTTATGTATACTAATATATCTTTCATGTTAAAAACAATGCATTCACAGAAGTTATCGTAGCTATGTACATAATTATTTATAATCAAATTAGTATATAATATCACATTAATAGATTTTTACTTGGAAAAATCAATTATTTTTTAGTAAGCAAAAAATAAATTTAGATAAAAGACTTTATACATGTTCCTTATTATAATAGAAATCAATAAACGTCAGAGTCGTACAAACGCATTCTATTTCGGATATAGAGTACTCCAAAAATGCAAGTCATAGAAAGTCCAGAACTAAAGGAGCCTTAAAATTGACTTAAATGCGCGGATATAATGACGCTAAACGAATATGTATGCATTGCGTGTGTACATGTACAAAGTAATATAAAAGAACATATATACAAACATGCATACATAAATGCGAAATGAGAGAAGAAAGGGGCGTGACACTTTTTAATTACTTTGAACTTGCATGTATCAGATTAGGTAAAAACGGTAAATTTTATCGTAAAAAGGTAACCGCGCGTTTAAGCCAACGTTAAATTCAAGTGTGTCTTGCCGATAAATAATGGTAACTCGAGGATCGATTACGAGAATCCGTCAACTTATTTTTATTACAGTACGGGACACGTTACGTGTATGATGATATACGTCTATCATCGTGATAAAAGTCCAGTCGAAAACCGATTCGATTATAGTAATGGACAGGTGCGAATGCTAGTCACTTTTTATGACCGTGTTCTTGTCACATTGTCTTCTGGCAATTACATTGGTCACGAAAAAAGGAAAGATACTTTTTAATACGGTGAACTGTGTATTTACCACGTAACTGAAACTCGCGATGAAGCGGCAGGGCTTTTTAAATAATATCACAATCGTGTGAGGGAGAAGAGGGAGACTCCTATGAAAGTGAAATAGAGAGAGAATAATATAGGAATTGTTAATAACTGTTGTATTATCAATTATTCTTCACGTGCGACACTGATGTCTTGCATGGCCTTTAACTTTTTTTTCCATGCAAAGCTCATTCTCTTATAAACCGCTTAACCAAATCTCTTGAAATTTTTCAAATAAATAGTTGAATAAATCAAATTAATATTTCAACGATCTAAAAGTAATTCGCATTTTAAAACGTTAACAATTGAAAAGCAGTTTGTGACATAGTATCAGTATCTTTAGTCTTCCACTGTATCTCCAGGCTGTGATATTATTTTCGACTGAGTATTTCATTCCTTTCTTGTAATCTCTCATAAGAGAAAATCGTAAAAAAATGTTGTAATCGTTATCGAATTTGCGAGGCATCAAACTGATGGATTTGTTTTAAATGATTCAACCAACGTATCTCTTATATATGTAAGTGCAACAGAGATTTTAATGGATTAACAAAAGTGACTTGATCATTGTTGGACACGAGAAACTCTACACGTATAAAAGAAAAGAAAAGAAAAAGAGCTAATTCGCATACTGAGTAAACTCGATACGCATAAGTACTTACTTGTGTTAGATTACATTCGCTAAATTAAGTGTGAAGTATTGAAGTTAGAATCTGTCCAATTCGCATTGCTGTATGTATCTATCATGAGACTTATCTTATGTGTTGCGTGTTGTGGTTTATGAGCGTGGATGTGTTTGCATGTGTGTATGTGACGATCGAGCCAGTAATTTGTTAATTTATGTTGCTACTATTGATAGTTTACACTCTCCAATAGTTGTATAATTCATGTTATCGTCATTAAAGGTAATGCAATACACCGAAATATGTCCTACGGATAAATATTGTAATAGTAGTATGCCTTATTGTGCCACTGGATCTTCGTCTTTCTGCTTTCAAAGGGAGAAAGATTTATGAAATATCGAAGATACAGATTTCGTCGTACATCCGCGATCTACACTGCTGGATAAAACGATTCGACACTTTAGTAAATTTTTATAAATGCCTTCATAAGTCAATAACATTAGCGAATTAAAAATTGCATATGAACGGCAAGACATTGACAAGGATTATATAAGATAACTAAGAAAAGATTTACTTAAAGAATGATTCAGAATAATTTCTTTATTAATACAGAAAAAAAGTATTGAATTTTATTTTTATCTACAATATTTTTCCAAGAATGTATCTTGTAATTTATAGTCCAATTTAAAATTCCGTTATTTCCCTTTTAGCTAGAAATTGATTGCAAATTTTATTTGTTAAAATATTATTTAATATTAACATTTTTATTTGTCATATAATGCTATTTGATATAAAATCGTGCCCCAGGAACTTTCACGGTGTTTTATCATTATGTCCAGCAATGTATTATGTATCCACATGCTATATCCAGCGATGGGCATTCGATTCTCTTTCTCTCGCAAGTTTTCAAGCAATTCTGCTAGCCTAAAGTTTCGAATGATTTTGAATATTATATGGAAATCATTAATTTTATTGAATCTTCAACATCTTGAAGAACTTGCTAGTGTTTTAAAAAATCATTAAAATCCTTCAAATTCTTAAATAAAGATGTCGAAAATCTTGGAATTTTTAAAAGATAATTTGACAGAACGATAGAAATTTAATATTATGTATCAATATTTGAACGAATACATTTATTGAAGCTATGAATTATTGCGATTAGTTAATTATCATGACTACATTACATGGAAAATAATTTTAATTATTTTCTTAATGTAGATTTATCGTAAAAATTTTTAATAAACGCAAATGTTTCAAGATGAAACTTGAGGAGGCTTTTAAAATGATCTTTCACTAGTCTTTCAAGAACTTTTTATTTCAGATAATATTCGAAATAATTCAAAACTTTTGTCGTAATGATTTAAAGCACTTGTTTATCCATCACTAAAGCTACATCGCAATTCTAGTCTTGAGTGACATGCGACATAGAGAAGTGTTTCCGACCAAATAGCATGTATCGAATCAGAGAGTTGATGAATTGACGGCGGTAATAATATCCGAAATGGCTAATAATGTGCCAGTAATACTTAGTTTTCTCATTTGACTTGCGTTTTTCCTTGTGCAACGATATTCCTAATGTTTTTTTTTTTTGTTTTAATTTATCAAACGTAGCGCGTTAGTAGCTGTTATGTATGATTAGCAATGTGTCATTGTGCATGTAACAATGCACTTTGCATCGGACCAATTTCAAGGAGCAATTGAGCTTGCGACTATCTTTTCTTCCTTTTGCTCATATTCCTTCGTACCGTATACAGCGTATTCTTCGCCGATGTAAAAACCCATTGTATGGAATTTCAAAATATCATGCGTACCTATACTAATAAACTTTACTGCCCCTGCCGGTGAGTCATGGTGATTTAAATATTATTTCCACGCGCGTGCACCGTGACCGTAAAATATATTTATACAAAGTTGGAGCCCTGTACATGGCTCAACAGATATCTGCGAAAAGTAAATTTTCAAGTAATTCTCAAATCCCCATATTAATGCAATTAAGGAAAGCAATACGAGTCTCAAACTCGATTGCGTGCTGACAATCGTCCGGTGTCATCATACAAGAACGCTTGTATCATTAAAACTATCTTGATACTTTCTACCGTTATTTCTTCTTTTAGAAATCTCTATTAGCATTTAAATATCGACACTTTCTTCGTTCTTAATCCACACTGTACTTGTCTCTTCATACTTGGATGCTGATAATATTAATGTTTCGCTACGAAAAAAGAAAGAGATTATGCTTTTAAATTCCTTTGACAGCGACAGCATGTAAGTTAGCGCGTCGCGGATGCTTATGTGCAATTAGAGTAAAATGAAAGAGAAGAGTACACTTCCTATTTGCGGTTATATATGAACAATCGGGCAAAAATTGGGACGTTCAAGGGCCCAGAAGTATGTACGTCTCTCTCTTTGCGTGTTCCCGTTGTGTCCCATTTTCCATTATGTCTTCGAACCAAAGCATGATAAAGAGGAACCTCTCTGATTGTACTGTGAATGTTGAATAAATTTAGAATATATAATTAGCCTTAAAATGTGTCTGTGTACACGTTGCTTGAAGCGTATTATATATATATATATATATAGCGGATAACATCAGAATGGTTCTCCTTGTGTTCCATTAGTAATATAAGTCTTATCGAATTTCTCGAATGAGTTTTAACGTGCCGTTTAAAGCGAACCGCGTCAAAGCTTTACTGCAAAGTGTATTTTTTATTTTGTAATTCGTTCGACGACGTATCCGCCTGGTGTGTCAAAATTCTTTGTAAAACAAAATGAGAAAAGAGACACGCACTTAGATACGTAACCGTTCTTTAAGAACAATCGGTATATCCGTATACATATCGCTTATTTTATATTTTAATAAGACTTCGCAAAGTTTCTTTTAAACGCGCGTATATAGACCCATTATTATTGTCCAGTCCGTACCCTATATGTTTGATAATATTGTTTGGAGTGCGGCCCTCCTCCCCTGTACATTTAATAGATTTTATACACATATGCGCATACGTAGAAACGCGTTTCTAGCTATAACAAACTGTTGTAAATTACAAGATAGTACGTACTTAACGCCCTTCGTTTCGCAATGTGTTATAGTATTGTATAACGAAATATGCGCATATATATGTATATATGTATGTGTGCATATATATGTGCATATACCTATAGTATATTGTACACAATTGTTAGATATATATATATATATATATATATATATATAGCATATATATCTAAAGTGTATAATACATATACACGTTAGGTATGCATGCAAATATACGAATATATATATAAAATATCAGTATATATGTCGACACTCGTTTCCAGCTGGTCTGATCGGGTATCATTCTAATAATTATAATATATGCGTTGGCAGCGATATGATTCGAAGTAATCTAGAACCGAATGCGCAATCGCACGATCCGATTTATTGTACGATACAATGCAGATGTATGTCTATATATAATTTGTTAATAATATGTATCGAGAAGTAAATAGATTTTACTAAAGATTCTGTATGCTGAGCAGCAGGTTTATCTACGTACAATAGATATATGTAAACTGAAGTAATATCGATAATTGAAGGACGAGGGTAAATTGCACGAGTATTTTGTGCTTTGTAATATAAATTTGTAAGACGCGCGATCACATGTCGTCCAGTTTCTTTTTCTCTTTCCGATCCGATAATACAAAAATTCATTTATACAAAGAAAACGAATCTCGCCGCAAGCGCTCACACAGACTTGTAATATTTATAACAATATTATGCTTACATTATATGGGCCAAGATAGAACAATCGAATAATCGATAATTGAAAATTAGAAAGTTCGCCTTTGTATGCCTGTACCTCAGCGATACTTAGCAGCTAATTATGTTTCTTATTCAATTGTATTGTGTATTATTTGTGATTGTTATATTCGACGATTCGGATCAAATCACAATGTCTTCAGACATATTTTTATCTAACATACTCGTTAGAACTAAAAAGATTCGAATCTTATTAAAAAATTATTCTAATTTGAACGATTATTAATTATCATACCAAGTTTTTTCTTATTGAATATTTTATAATTAAATTTCTTTTCCAAGTGTTTCTGCTCGATGCAAAAGTGGGGAACAGATTTCTAGCGACATATCTGTATTTGTTCAACAACACGTATCAGTATCGAGATTCACAGCTATACCGAGAAACGGGAATTAATCGAATGAGCTTGTCCATGCATACCGCTGATGTAATTATCATTATAATCATCTTCTCGTACAGGATGTCGCAGAAAAGTTGGATGCTGTTTTAAAGGTTGTGCTTATCCGGGCTTATCGAAACGAGAGGAGAGCAACTCGCATAAACCGGATCTCCCAAGTTGAGAGAGTTACGTTATAGTCATAGTCTTTGCGTCTCTACAGTCATCGTCATTGCAGTTCGCTATGTATCAACTTTTACCATCACAACATTCCCTTTAAACAGCTTCCAAATCCTTTCCGCGATACTCGACTCGACTCGACAGTGTACGCGTCTCGTCGCGCGTAAGCTGAGATCTCGGACGTTCATGTGCGTATTTTCGCGATGGAGCCTAAGCGCGGTTGTAAACCAAAGTCAAGTCTCAGATGCATACAATGGAAAATAAATATTTGGTGTGTCTCCCTTTATGCTTGATCAGCCAACATTTCGTACACGCTTGTCACAGCGTCACTGCCCGAGATTTAAGTAGCAGCATTTGATATATCCCCCGTGTAACACCGTGTCTCACAGTCGTCGTGGTTTCATATATCTCGGCACGAAGAATTCTATAGAAGGATGTATATTCAGTTCACCAGGAAACTTCTCGTGTCCCATTCGCGAAGCATTCGCCTCCTGCTCTCGTACACATTCGGTGATTCTGCAAAACATTGTCCGGGTGATCCTATTTTTTTGGCAAACGCTTCGGTACGTTGTACAATCTTATGTGAAATAACCGGATGCGAGTTTGTATTCGAGCAGCGAGCAACAATATACACTTGGTATACTATAAATAAATAACATAATAAAAAATGAGAATATAATAAATGAATGGACCTGTACAGAAGTCTATTATATCTATTTATTATTATTGGTAACTCACACGTGTTTATGCACTTACAAATTTCGTCGTTACGCAAATAATCTGTTTTAAATTAAATGAAATACGAAGATAAATACTTTGCGTATTATGAGAATTGTTAACACTCCTCTTGTAATTTAAATCCCAGAATTAAATTCCAGAATTAAATAATAAAGTCAATCGTATAGATTGGAATTTGTAAGTAATATTGCTATTTATCTGAACAGTGTTAGAAAACAAAAATGTAACATGTAAATCTTTTTAGCCTTATAACAGTTTTTATGCAACACGTGCATGGAAAGTGCCCCATTACGCACGCTACGCGTGCGTGATAAACCACTTTCCAGGCACTTGCAACATAAAATAGGGAGTGTAAGCCGTGTGTAAAGATGAAGGCGAGTGCGGTAACTCCGCACCCGGGAATTTTCATCTTACCTCACTTGTTACACAAATAACTATTATTGTATTCTAAACTTGCTTCATTACGGCATTATGTCCAAATAGTTATAATTGACAGATTTGCTCTGTTTTATGATACATCCAATTTCTTTCCTTGATTGAAATGATACAAGTATAACAGACTTTATTTGGGATTGATGTAGTTTCGGATTTATTCTTCCTGTTCTACCATATAGATTGAAACAATCATTAAAAAAAATATTCTTTATTCACACTGTAAGCGATCTGTTTACTTTACAAAATATATTCATCAACGATGTGTTCTGATGTTCTCTCATAAGATTTTTTTGTTGGCATTATTATTAAATTAATAATAGCTAACATCATATTTTATTATCTTTGAGGAGCTTCACGAAGGATCATGTCAGGTCTTTTATGTACAATTAATTCTATGAAAGCTAACGATATTAATAACGACCAACCAATTTGTTCTTGACAAACAGGACTTTGTGCGTTGTACATGTTTCTCAATTCTGTTCCTATTAACACTTTTGGTTCCTTTGTTTTTATCGGTTCGTTGCTTTCCTGCAATAGCTTTTGCACCATGTACTGTGTGGAAATACCCTCGTTGTCTATTATAAGTCCATAGATTTTTCGCAATACACGCTGCCGAAGTATAAATATGTTGTTTGCCACAAATCCTGTGGTGTCTGAAAGATTTGTAACAAAATTTTTATATTAGATTTTTCTTCCCCATGCAACGTGTAACAAAAATATCAGCACTAGAAATCAACATGATGAAAGTGTATCTTTCGAATTGAATCATGGTTGTAGCTAAAAATCTTTACATTTATTTTAGACTGATTGATTCCTTAAACTGTTAGTAAACATATATTTTCGAAACAATTAATGTAAATTAGGGAAGAGAAAATTATATTTCTTATTCGTGAATCAATTTTTATCTCCATTCATAAAGAAAAAAAGAAGAAATAATTCTAATTGATAATTATTCTAATTGATAAATTTTTGTCATTGAGAAACACTAATAAAGCATAATTTTCATACCATTAAATTTATTATCCAACATTGTCAGATACGACAGAATGATAGCGCCTATTATAGATTGTTGTACAAAGTTTTGATAAAAGTGGCGATTTTGTATACGGCCCACGTCACCACCGGTCTCTTGCATTATATACCGATCAGCCTTCGGTAATTTTTTGGCAATTGGTATTGTCTAAATAAAAAGAAAAAGTTGTGATAACAAAATATCCTACAATTGGCGATCTCTAAACAACAGGCTTATTTTATGAAGTAAACAAAAAACTTCTTAATGCTTCAATACTTACCTCTTGAAGTAAAGTATGAATATTTTCTTTTGGCCCTTTTCGTGGAAAAGATTTATAACTCCACTGTAATACTTCGCAATCGCGATTTAATAATGACCAACTTATCAAGTCATGTCCTACGTATATGCCTAATACTGTATCGACATCCTGTAACATATAAATGGAATTGATCTAGAATGTATGGAAACAAGGGAGGAAACTATCAATATTTTTCTCATATAATTCTTTAATTAGAAAATTAAGGAGAACTTGATATCTCGTACCCTTTGACTAGTATCAGTATTTTGTGGTGTTACAACCAAGCCTGACGTAATCTTCTTAGGAGGCTTTTTCTTACCACATATAATTGACTTATAAAAATTATACACACATTTGTTATTCATACTCTGTACTTGTAACAAATCGTCCAACGATTCAAACGGTCCATTATTTGCACGGTGCAATTCTAATTTCTCTGCACGCTTCTTAGTAATGGAATATCTTTGAAAAAATAATTTTAACAGTAATAAATGCACGATTGAAAATTTGTAATGCACGAAAAAAAAATATAATTAACTCACTGTGCTAGATCTTTCATGCTTTTGCTATTTATTACTTGGAGTATTTTCTCCTTATCTTCTAAAGAGAGAAGATTTATATCAAAAGTGTCCGTGCACATGTTGTTTACTTTAAAAATAAATGCGCTCAGTGTCTGATGCTTGTAGATCTGTAAAGAAAGGATAAAAGAGAAATAAGACAGAGAATATCAAATTTTCTGAAAAAGAAAAATTGAAATGCTTTTAAAAAAAGTTATAAAACTCAAAAATATAAATTTATAAAGTTTAAATGAGATACACTATCATAAAATAATTATATACTTTTTATTAAAAAATTATTAATCTCTATAATTGCAAAGAACATACAAAATCTTACCTGCGCTCTTTGGTTTTTAATAACTGTATTAAAAAATCTCGTCAACATCATGTTCCACATTTTATCGTAAAATTATTGACACAAAATGTAATACAATTGATTATTAATCATCTCATTATTATACGTTCAACTGACGTCTTCAATATGCACCAATATATATAATTAGCTCTATAAATGTGTTCGACGTAAATTTAATTTTTATGTGCAAGCAATACAAATAAATACCCACATGTAAGTACTGAAAAATATGCTCTGCTTTGTAGCTAGGTTATATTGCGCTTTCTGCGCCTAAAATGGAATAAATAGACGTTACTGACGTTAGAGAGAGAAAGAGAAAAGATGGAAAGTACGGAAAGTGCAGCTACAAAACAGAACTATCGATCTAACCTAACCTGACGTGATGAAGGAAACTCTATGCATTTTACACGTTCAAAATAACACTGTATTATGTATTATATACAACTTTGAACGGAAAAAGCTGAGAAGAAACGTAAAAAGTACATTCGAAACATCTTTCTTAACTTTCTGTGCTTAAAATAAAATAAAAATATATAAATATCAAAGAAAAAGAGGATAAAAAGTACAGAAAGATCAGAGATCAGCTGATCAGCTTGTAAAGAGCAAGTCAAGTTGGCCCAAGTGAGAGAATTTTGCCGTCTTGGATTGGCGATACTGGACTCAGCTGACTAACCGAAAATTCAAATTCCATTTCCAAGTTTCACGGGAGGTAACCTGCTTGCGGATTTCGTAGTTTTGTTTTCGTTTTCTCTCACGAAAATAATAATCATGCAACAGAATTCAGTCAGACGTAGATCGTCCAGTAATCCCGTAAGGATATCCATGATCGAACGGGAAGATAAGAGCTCGACAGGAGCTCGAACGGATCAACGGAAGACACAGACATTGAAACCGAAGGGAATCTCGACTGGTGAGGTCTCTCATATTCCCAGGGCTCGTTTTCGGAGCTCTTCCAGCGACCGAGCGGGATCGCTCGGCAGAAAATCGTACTTGAAAGTAACAGGTAAAGTATAACATGTAAAGGCATACTCAAGACTTCTATCTTTTCTAATTACTTGATATTATGAGCCAGCACAGGATAGAAACGTGTCTTCAATAAGACAAAAATTTAATTTAATTTATTTTATTCGAGATCGTTCCGACTTCTTTTTAAATTATGTTCAACTTATGTGTATGTATTGTGTGTGTGTAGGCAAAACTCCGCTACGGCAACCAACAACTCCAATCACCCCGGTGAAAGTCGCCACTAAGCATGCTATCCCAGGTACAGTGCTTACAGCAAGTTCTAGTAAACTTCATTCGTCGTTATCAATCGGTCGATCACCGTCCGGCGACCGTGCTAGCACCATAGGAGCTAAGGGCCCCAGAAAGGACACAAGACCCCTAGCGGATAAGGTTTATCAGATGGACCTATTAAAAGAGATCGATAAGTTCTTTGAGATAAATCAGTGCTCGACGATGTTAAACAGCAACGGGAGTTTGAAACCAATTACATTGAAGATGTTCGTGGAGGTCTCTAGCTTTCTATTGAAGTACTTCGACGTCAAGCATACTCTCACGATGGCAAATTACATAGATGAATTACCAAAATGCGCAAAGAAGTTACACTATCCTGGCGTGATGAACAAATCATGGCTTAAGACTGCCAACGCAATGCATTCGTGGCCCTATGTTCTCGGTTGGATCGGCTGGTTGGTGGAAGCATACAAAGTGAGAGAGCTCGCATTGAACAGATACCAACTGGAAACTTTGCCGTTCATAGGAACGGAGCAGCAGGCTCAGAGTTGTAGCATGGAGTTTCAAACATTGTTGGAATGTTATAGAGTTTGGAATGACGAGGAAAAAGCCCACGAGGAGGTAGAACTATTGAACCAATATCTGCAGAACGTTTTAGTTCAACAAGGCATTACTGACTGCGATCTAGCTCAGGCACATAAAGAATTGGAGGAAGAAGAAGTGAAGTTGCAGATGCATGAGGAAGAGTCACAAGAACTCGATAAAAAAATTGAATATTTACAACAGAAATTAGCGTCTTCGCGCGCCAAGGAATCTAAAATATTAAACGATATTAAAAGCATGGAGGATTGTATAAGCAAGTTTTCCGCCGAGACAAATCAGTTAAATACAGAACGTGAAGTTTTAAATGAGCAAATTCAAATAGGAAATAAACAATATGAAGAATTATTCTCAATCGTGAAGAATCAACCCATGTCTAAGATTGAAAAGGAAAATATCATTAAAAAATGCACGGAGATTCAAAACTACATACACCAATTTGACGAGCATTTGAAAGATTACCAAAAGGAATCGTACAGTTTAGATATCAAATTCGCGTCTTTCAATAATAATCTCAATATGGCAATATTGGCGTATAATAAGGAGGTCTTTATGCTTATCGACAATGATGTTGGTCTGAATTTCGATGACGTAAAGCTCCCGGAAAAAGAATTGTTGAAACCGGAGATGATGGATATAATGGAAGAAAAGGCCTCTTTAATAAGAACATTCAAAGAGACATTGATGAAGCAATGCAACGAGATAGAGTCTCTTATTCAATTCGAAACCATGAAATTGGAGAAACTCCAAGAAGAAATTAAATCTTTGCCGGATGAAAACAAATTGAAAGAAGATATATCTCACATTAATGAAATGAAGGCAGGTGCGAAGAAGGAGAAAGCCAAACTTATAAAACAGATAGAAGACTTGAAAAACGAAATTAAAGCAATGGAAGATATGATGCCAGATTTACAAGCGGAAGACTTCGAAATAGAAGAGGCACAAGACAAATTAGATGCAGTTATAAGAAGAAAGATGTTTCTAGAGCAAGCTGCCAAACGGTTTTTCGAAGAATTTTATAAAACTGTCGGCGAGCATAGAAAAGAGCTTTATAATATTGCAACAAAAGATAGAACGCTATAGAATTACATCTCTGCACAAATATTTTTATCATGATATATGTCCATCATTCCTTCGCCACATTACCCCATATTATTTGTATTGTATAATCTATTACACACTATATTGTATATTATACGGTTTCAGTAAAATGTTGTCGCATCTTATTAAAATATAATATGTACAAAAACGTTTATTTCAAATAAAGAGTTTTATAAATATGTTTTTATCGCAGAATTCTCGTGCGTGTCATTTATATACAAATAAAATAGATACATATTCTCTCGTCTCGTATCTTTTTCATTTTTTCTTTTTTTTTTTTTACAAAATGATGCAAATTCTAGTATGTAAAATATTTTTATTCTATTAGTTCTATATGTCATGACAATATGCAACTCGCAATTTCTTTTTTTTTTTTCATTCTTTAAGATAAGTTTTAACATCATCTGATAAGTTACATAGTTGAAGCATACGTCCCTTAACTTCACAATGTACATGATACATTAATAGTTAATGAATAACAAAAAGAGATATTATAACGAACACTATATATACTACATACAAGACGTTACGTTCGAATAAAATATTCGCCATTCGGGAATCAATTGTATTTTTCAATAACGTTTCGTTTTTTAGATATCATGAATTGATTTTCTATTAAGGAGTACCTTTTAATTAGCTTTCTAATTTCACTTGAAACTTCGACAATGTTTATATTAAAAGAGTTGAAATAAGTTCTGTCCAAAATATAACAGATACATGCCTGTACGAAATCGTTCCAATAAAATCATTGGAATGTGAATTACATATTAATATGATCTATATCGTAACTATTTACTACAAGTATTATGCTTTTCGATGATCGATGATCGATGATCAAATTATGATCATTCATATCTGATATTTTAAAAGTCACTCCTCAACTATGAATTTTAAGCTGTAGCTAGGTCCCGACTGCCATTTTTATCTTACTTTAATATGTACATGTAAAACATAGTAATCAGTGTATAATGTTGATTAAAATGCAACGGGATATCTAATACAATTGGTTTTAAAAAATTTGCAATGCTTTCTAGTCTGTAAAAAAAATAATAAGTCTTTAAATAATTCAAATATATTCCCAATTTTTTTCGCTAGCTTTACATAAGACAAAATTAACAAACAGATTTAATCACTTTCGTATATTTATAATTTTCAAAATTATGAGCTGTATTCATAAAAATGGCAATGTAACATGCAACTTGATAATAATAACTTTGATATATAGAAAAATATGATATATATATATATATATATATATTAATTTTATCTTATGTTGAGCTTTATTGTATATTGCCTTATTTTTATATAACGTATAAGCGAGTACGTGTACGTTATATGCTGTGTATCAATCTTTTCGCTTTTTATTTAAAGAGGAATTAGCCTATATGCATGTGCATTTCCTTTATGAATTCTTTTCTTTGCACGATCGCTGCACGAACCTTCTTATCGCAAACTACCACCAGATAGCTATGAGATCACACAATTACATATTGTGAAAGTATATTCTATTGTTGACTATCGTGAAAGAATTGAGAGAAAGAGAAAAATGTACGCTATTTGTATTTAAGTGCGATTACAAATAACGATTGATGGATTCATAAATGCTCCAGAAGAGCTCACGTACATACACGCATGTACCCACGAACACACAATCGTACGCAAAAATAAAGAGTATCCTACGTATATTTCATAATTTTGTACTAATGTTTCGTATGCATTAATGAATGATTAACACATTTAATTATACTCGCGTGAATAGAATAATATCCCAAAATTTGCTATAATATTGATATTATTTATATTACAAATAATTCAACAGAAATATTTTTCGATACAGCTTACAAGTCTTTGAGATACATAAGATACCTTTATACGTAAAAAAATAAGTTTTATGCAATATATACAATAACCAGGATCGGATTTACCCGTTTGCTGCCTATAGACACGTAAATAGTGCTACTGAAAAGAAAGCTAGTTTGTTTAAATGCCATTCGTCTTTTTAATTGACATAATCCAAATTGTGGCTAAATTAGAAGAGAAAAGAATGTTTAATTAAAGAAAGTGTAAGTTATTAAATATATATTCAATATTTCTTTTCTTGAAATATAACATAATAAAATTATATCTTTTTTATTAAAGACAATTTTGTGAAAAATTTCGGTTCTAGGCCGATGTCTATAGTGCCTACTGGTAACTCTAACCCTGATAGTAACGTTTTATTGAAATCGTTTTCAACTTCAAATTTTAGGCAAATAAGAACTTCATGGTTATCTAAATACATTTGCAACTTCCTATAAAATAAAATAAACAATTTTTACAATCCGTATTACGTATAGACTATAGACGTCACTCTTCGCGTTTATTATTTATTTAGATTTTTTTGTTAGTGTACGCGATTCACTTAGAGTATTATTTCGATGCAATCCTAAATTGTAGGATAATTTAACAGATCACTGTTCCACACACGCTGCGTTTTATACTTAGAGATTGTAAAAATCAGTATGCAAAATAGATAACGATCTTTTTGTCATTGTATGTACAACTGGCAAGTTGAACGGGATATTTTTTTGACGCGTAAATATTAAATTCATCGGCTTTTGTATATTTAAATTTAACTTGCGGTATCTCAACTAATTCTCTTGATAATTCGTGTATTTGTGGTCTCAGTAAGCTAAATTTATTATAAAAATTCCCAAATTGTTGAACGAACAGATGAATATCATTTAGCATACATGTGTCGATCAAAAACATGCTCCAATATATTCATGAAATACAATATATAAAATCGAGTAATCAGCATTATACATAAATACAGGATGTATAAACGGAACACTTTCATCTGTTATTAAAATTACTGTGATACAGCTAATCAATAAGAAATATTTTTGTTTTATGAAACTTGCCTTTTATACTATACAATTAACTGAACTATGTTCAGATTACGCGAGTGTTCGCATAATTTTAGAAGCGCTAACGCATATAACGCATCATATGTAACAAAATAGTAGATGCTAAATCATAACAGTGATTAATTTTATAGGCAAAATTGACTGTCACCATGATTAAGCATCATATTAAATATCTGTATTTTTTGCGTTATATTGAAATATTTACAAATATTCAAATAGTGAACCATACGTAAACTGCCCCATTTCTTATATACGATATATTTCTCTAAACTAATTTACCCTTGCAAATTCGTAATTACATGTTTTTGATTCTCATAATTGTTTCTTTTAATGGTTCTAGTTGAGCTATTTACATAACGCGTTTTTCTCTGTTGAGAGGTGTACTTGTCACACTTGGATAATCACTGGTACGGTATAGTTCCTCACGATGTCCGTTTAAATACTTTGTCACACATCGATCTGTATATCACTATCTTCCGCCTCACTTTCAGTACTTACCATAGCATCTTCCCCTACTAACAAGGCAGCGGGTAAGTTCTGTGGTACATTGTCAATGTCTAGTCTCGGAGTAGAATACACATTTAACACTTGTATCGTTGTGGGAGACGTCGAGAGACACTGCGGCACGGATCCTAAAGGATCTCCACTTAGCGCGTCGCAATCCAAGGAAGTGGACAATTGTAATTGTAAATTATGAAGTTCAGGTATATGTGGACGGATCTGAAATATATAGAAATTATATAAGACACTTCAAGATAGAATTGAATATACAACAAACTCAGTCGCGTAGCGACAAATACCTTCAATCCATCTGCCGTATGAGGATTTCTGCAACCTCTACATCTACACTCCACGCAGGGCTTACTTTCGACGTAACAAGGACACCTTTGACCACAACAGGTAAGTTTCCCAGGTATCGCGGTGGCATTACCACATCTGCATCCTTTTCTTTTACTTCTAGCAGAACTCGACCTTGGCTTTTTAAAACTGCCCGAAGACTGCTCATAACAAAGTGAATTACATTATTGTCGATACTCCCAAGGAAATGTCAGTAAATTAAGTATTACAGATCAATGCAGAAGTAGTCAAAATTAAAAGCTAGAACAAATATGCTTTTCAAAGGCAAAACAACAAATGTCTGCATTAATCTTTCTTATGGGACCTAAGTGAATGTGAGTCAAGATTTCTTTAAGACTAGTATTAGTATAAAACATAAGAGCGATAAATATGTACAGGTTAATTAAGCTCAACTATAATTGTTAATAGACGTGAGTCAGAAAAATTATTGTACCTTACAAGAAGTGTTAACCAAGGACGAACATCTTCAAGCATTTAAATAAAGATTACAGTGCAATGTAAATCCTGTAAGGCATAAGATTAACCGAATATCTATTGAAATTACTTTGCTGCTCTTTGAAGATTTTTTCTCAGAAGGAGTCCCATATTTAAGGTGGGAAGACGGAATGCATTTTACCCCTCCTACAGAGCCGTGCTGACTTCCATCCGTCTCCTGTTGCCCCGTGTTTTCCGTGTCTTCCGTAGCAGCCGCTTTCCGTTTTATCGTAATTTTGTTACCAGATCCAGCGTACATTACGGAATATATGGAAGATCCGTTTGATACCGTACGAATCGTTGGTGACTCTAATTTGACAGCAAGAATACAATGGTGGTAAATAAATTAACTCATATATTACTCGCATGATAAATGATATTCATATTATATTAATGCAATTGTATACGCATATTTATTCGGAAGAACTTGCGACAATAGTCGTATCGAGGGAACATTTCTATACTCCGTACCAGGTATGCTCTGGGATATCGCCTCAGTAGTCTGGATGTTATTGCCCTGCGTCTGAGTGGAGGTAGTGCTGGTATAAACGCACGGTAAGATACTGTAAGCGGATTTGGACAGGCCGGCGTTGCTCTTGAACTCATCTTTGAAGCCGGCGCCTTCCTGGATGAGCTCCATCAGGCTGGTGGCACCGATGGTGGACGGGGCGCCGTTGGTGGTGGAGTTGCTGGCAGACGTGACGGTGAGCAACAGGGTGCGATAGATGTTGGTGCTGGTGAGATACTCGCATAGTTTCTTGTAGCATTGCAGCAGTATCCGCAACTGCACGTTCTCCACGTACTTGTCGTAGTCCTTGCACCAGCCGCACGACGGCTTGAGCTTCTTGCGGCCGCCGCGGCAACCGCGGCACACGTGATGCTGACAGTTGGTCTCGGTCGGCGTGTGCGGCTCGATCAGCAGGTTCGAGCACACGGTGCAGCTGAGGCTCTGCCGCAGATACGGCACCAGCCTGTAGAGATCCGTCCAGGAGTTGGAGTCGTCGGCGTCGGCCTGCAGCACCAGCCGACACGTCGACACGTACAGGCTCGTCGCGTTCATCGCGTCACGCGCCCGGCGCCGCTCCGCTCCGCTCTCCGCGCCCGGACCCTCTCGCTTCCCTCTCGCCTCCTCCCTTCGCGGGCGCGAAATATCACAAACCCCTAAACCTTACAGCCGCCGCCGTACGCTCCGCGGCGCGTAACGCGTAACCATCCTCCTCGCGCACACAAACAAAACATACGCCATGTTTCGTCGCCGAGTACTCCGCTTTCCGCTTCCCCCGCGTTCCTACAGAGGGCGCGCCGAGTGTCTTTCTGTTCTTTCTTCAGCAGTTTCTGGCGCGAGCGCGACGCGACCCGCCTTATCACTGACGTTCAGGTTGTTCAGAGGTTCGGAAGAGGCTCTCAGATGCTGTCTTATCGCGTCAAGCTGGATACATTCGGAGCGATCCACGTCAGATTGGACAGTAGAGTATTTCTTTCTCGTTTTCGAATCTTATCGCATGCAAAAATATATAAACATGGTAAAACGTGAATTTGTACACAATTTCCTTAACCTTATATGTTGCGTCTAGTTTTCACCTGAATTTTGCTCTTTCTTCCTTACCAGAAATTTTTAAAAAATCCTAATTAATTTCAGCTAATAAAAAAATTGTAATATGCTTGGCAATCTTGAATTAAGTGTATTTTAAATAAACGTTCAAAAGAAGGGAATATTTGAAAAAAGCAACTTCCTTGAGGACGGTAAAAAAAAGTCATTTATTATCGCACTCATTTACAGAGCCGATTACAAAAGGCTGAAGATAATTCCTAATTACTCAGCTATTTCTGACGAACGGCATGCGTGAAGGCCTAGCTGTCTGCTTTGCTGTAGTATAAATCGCAAGAATTTAAAAGTAAAAAGATAAAGGTAAGACAATACGCGAAACGTGAAGGTAAAGCTCTGAAATAGGACAAAAAAAACGACAATCGAAATAACGTTGAAGAAGACTTGTCAGTGCAGTTCGAAATGTCCTATTTATTAAACTATATATTTTATTTTTAATTCTTGAACTTTTCACATTGAATCAAAATAATTTTCTGTTAACTTGAAACTTGAACATTCGAAATCCCATTGTATATCTCATTTATGTCAATATTATAGATGGTTTCAATACTACGTACAAGAAATCAAATATTATTCACTTGTTTGCTATCTGCTTCGGCATGAATTGCCCGAAAGCATCGTCCTTATAAACGTCGAATTGTCGAATGAGATCGTCGCGAGTTGTGCGAAAAAAAAGAATTTATTTATATGAAGAAAGAGAAGAATTATGGTGTAACGCGATCGACGCAAGTGATTTAATTGCTTTATTTGCTTGCAGGGTCGAGAGGAATGTTCCTTTCCATCCTTGTTGCATGATGCTGTTACGCGCATTTTGTTTTCGTCAACGTTGACAACGTTACGTTCGCCGCCGAGACATACCTACTCCGGACTGGACTTTCTCTCGCCTTGTCCGTCGAGATTGGCGGGATCGTTACTGGGATGAGGATTCGCGTGAAAAATTGATTCTAACACGGCGCAACTGGATGGTTAGTAAATATGGACTTGCAGGTAAACACATGACTGCAGAAATTAATTTTGCGGTCTATATTAGCGAAAAAAGATGATAATGAATCTTGTGATCGTTAAGAATCCAGGTAGCAGGATGACGTCTAAAGACGTCTTAATGATATATTATTAAGACATTATTAAGACCTTAGTAATACGTCACTTGACGTCACTCTGCTACTTGGGAGTAGTAACTATATACTTATCGTAATAAAATTGTCAATATTTAAAATTCCCATATTATTGAAAAATATTACATTGTTATACACTTGCGCGTATGCACACATATGTATATAACTTTATATTAATATAATTTTAAAAGTTTTGTACTTTATTTTAGTTCTATTCTATTCTTTCTTCTTTTCTGTTCTTAACGTTAGCACTATTAGCGAGGTAACCTAAGTGAAATTTTTAAGTGGCAAAATTTTTATCTTATAAATGTAGCTTATCAATATGTAGATAAGTAATACATTAAATATCCAATTTCAATAACAAGTTGAAAGAAAAATATCTGCTATATATTAAAATTTGGAACGAGTGTAACGTAAAGTTACATTCGTAGTTACGCTCGTATTCCAAGTTTTAATACGGAAACCCCGCGTATGACGGTTTGACGCAAATACTAAATGGACAAATTATGAAAATCATATGCAGGTATTCTTTGCGGTCGCGTGGCCGCGATAATGTGTAATGATTAAAATTGAACATTAACGCTCTTTCGCGAGAAGGAAAACTGAAGTATCACGCACGGATGTTGGTCGTAACGTTTCGTAACGTTTCTGCATCTACACGCATCTTATACTCGCATCTGCTTTCCATGACCCTTGGATTTTGCGGCCATGGCCCGCGGTTGGTTGGTCGATTGAGTAAGTCTCCGTGCAATATGGATAATTCGCCTCTTACTCTCACAATGCTCTCCTGCCTTATGGTTATCATTTTGTCGTTATTCCTTACGCGTTCATCACGCGACCTTCGCGATCGCGGGCCCGTTCCAAATTATGTAATGTGCAGCAACATCTTTCTCTCTCTTTTACGTTTTAAACACATCTGTTTTTATCTGGCGAATTTAATCTGTAGAGAATCCATTTTCTGCTTCTTTTAGCTACGCTTACATACACTCTTCGAGGCGTAGGGGGATAGTCAAGGTAATCGTAATACGTAACGAAAATCGCAGCACTTGCCGTTTGTAGGATGACCGTCGAGAAACGGTAGCAAAATGTTATATTCTTCGACAAGCTATAAAGAACTAAAGAAGAACGACTGTTAATTATGATACACAAAATAATGATAATAATCAGTCGAAAAATTGGTGAATAAAGTCTATAAAAAAGTACTCGCTTACATCATAAACTATAATAGACGGGTTACAGAAATAAACTAGGAAGTTCTTATAAAACGGTTAAACGTCATCGATTGACGCGAGCTGGCAATTACCGGTTGCCCGTTTGGCGTTGACCTGGGCAGAACGGGGAATTCCCTTCGGAACCTGTTTCATGGGATTCTTGCCAAAGAAGTGCAAGTCGATGTCCATACCGATTTCAACTGCCTTATTTGTAAAAACCATGCCGAGTAAGAATAGCATCTGATTTGTAATGCGGAATGCTCCTCTTTTTACTTCCGCCTCCATTAATCTTCCGAATATTTGTTTTGTGATGTAATCCGGTACCGGGATTTACGTATTAAATATATGTATATGGATTTAATCTGTTATGTTTAAAACCGATATAATGGACAAACGCAAAATCACAACGGAATTTTCGTCTCGAAAACATACCTTAATCGTATCTTATCTCAAGAAAATGACGTGCGTATAAAATGTATATCAGTGTTTATCAGTTGAATCTCTAGCTTTCTAGTGTCGGAAGTATTTCATTAAGATACGAATGTCACCATATGCAGCCTCTAGAAAGTTATAATGTCGTTTTCACACATTAAATGTCGTATAAATATAAGAGAGCAAAAATTGCCGAACAGAAATTAAATGTATCGAATTCGTTTAAAAGGAATTTGTTGCGTTTTTAAAGTGATATTATTGCTTGCACGCACAAACATCTGTTTTGTAATATGAACAATAGGTAATTGAAAAAAGCTACAAGTAAAACTTGTTTTCGTAAAATTGAGTCAATTCTGTTTTAATGTCAAAAAAGATTTATTTCTTGAGATTAAGAATATTTCTAGATTTCTGTTCTTTAGTCTTTTTGACGTGCCAGGGTCGATGTTTACGATCTTAATTATATAGATTATCTTCAATCTTTGATTGAGGATTATCATAATTGACTACAGTTTTCTGTACACAGATTATTAGTCGGTTACTCATATTATCGGATTCATATTTCTTTTTTACCACGAAAACAAAAGATTTCGAGGATAAAAAATTCACAGAAGTATATCACGAAATGGAGAGAGACTGCGTCATCCTTTTTGTTTACCCATTTTTTTTACAGGATTTAATCCGATTAGCAAGTAGATATTTCAAGTTCGTAAAAAGACCTCTCATCAATCATATGCAAAAACACGTCGCGGTTAAAAATATATATGAATACTTGCACCTCTCATTTTTCACCTCTCGTTTGCGATTACACAAGCTGCTCGGTTCGCATCGTAAGTAATTATGGTGTAATATTGCGTCATTAATTAATTGAGACATACGCTTGCGTATTTCGGAGCAATCGCGCATACGTTTACCTGCGTACGATCGCGAAACACGCGCTTAGTTTTTGCGATTCGCGAAAACAATATATGCGACGTGTGACAATTGATAACATACGTCGATCCGTTTCATTCTAGACGCGATAAATCCTAACGTGTATATGTGTGTATGTGTTTTATGTTTATGTATGGTGATGTAGTAAATTAATCCTAGGAACTCATTCTCGATTAATTCATTACATTGACAAGAATGGAATTCATTATAGAAGATAATATCGATAAAACACGTGATTTTAACGTGCGCAATAAGACGTGAGAATATATACCTGATACGCTTTATGTGTCCGAGGAAAGATATATGCTTTACATGCACCTTGAATAAAACGATATAGCAATATCGTGCACTAATGAATTGTAATATTGAATTGCAGAACTAACAAAACTGGATAATATTCAAGAATACATAAATGTCCTCTGCGAGGAATATTCTGGAATCTTTAAAGGAGGGAAGAGGAGGACCCTGAAATGATTGAAATTATGCCGATATTACATACGTGCGAATTGAGATGGCAAGGTGACACGACATGTCCAAGTCTTTCTGGGATTTGCGAAACTAATCTACTTATCACATTTGGCGGGGTCCGGGTATTAAGTTCGATTCCGCCAAAGATAACGGGGATTTTTCTTTCAAATTGCATACGTAGCGTGCCGCGCGTTTCGTATTCACGAGTGAGTGCGTTATCGGGTTTTCAAGACGCGTAACTCGACATCGCTTCTTTTTCTCTTCCTCCTTCTTTTCTCCTCTTCTTCTTTTTCTTTCCTTACTTTCCTTTTCTCTTTCTCTTCTTCTTCTTCTTTTTTTTTCTTCTTCGTATCATCTCAACACCACGTTCTCGTATAAAACAAGCGCGTCAAGGTGTCGGCGATGGACGAACTGTGAATAATGTCACGTCGATCGACAAGATAAGTCGGTTGATAAACATCAACCGTCATATTTAAGAAATAGCATTATCAAACCGCGAATCCGAAACTGGGAGCTACGATGTCACGTAGCCAGTGATCTTTTTTTCCGACTACGAGAGAATTGAAATTTGACATACGCCGAAAGTGAGTGAGATTATAAATATCAAGTAAGTTATATGGTGTTTTATTCATTATGGAATTTACAATTTACCGATAAAATTTCGTAATACATTCAATATATCGTTATCGTTGCAAGATTTTAAAGGAAATAATAAATTAAGCTGACATATCATATCACAAAAGTATTATGGATGTAGATGATAACGATGTGCAATTTCTTTTGTACGTAAACTGCTTTATATTTGTATATTCAATTGTATGCGTTTTGTGTTTTCAAGACGAGATTCGAAATTCTAAAAAGCATCAGATTTCTTATCTCATTTGATCGATAAATTGTCTTTGTCTTTTTTGCATTTCGCTTTCAATTGGATTAATGCGTAATACAGATGATTTATCGATAAAAGATGACTTAAATCTTGATTAAATTTCAAATTATATTTTTATACGATATTGTCAAATAAATTATTACAATTCCATCTTTACGTTAATCATATATAAATATATGAGTATACTTTTCTTAAAATAGCTTTATCAATGTATAGCTTATTAACGCGTAACATTGTAATTTATTATTTGCATTGGCTAGATCACCTAGTTATGTAAAACATCGCATGTTCATAAATATTCAATTCAATCCAGGAACTAAAGAAAACAGATCTAGCAGAAGTGCGTTTAATATAAGAAATATAATATAATAATATAAATTTGGAATTTGTTTTTATTGCGTTTTATGGATTTTAAGCAGCGAAAGCTATTTTTAATCTAAAGCGATTTCTTCTTCCGAAAATATTAAGAAAGTTCGTTCCTTGCGTCTTTACAGTCTTTATGTATCTTCGTATAATTAAGCTCCAAATTACAGTTCCGTTCGAGTAAAGTTCGTGTGAGATTAATTGAAAAATTTGATCTAAATTTTATCATCTGTTTTTTCATCTGTAGTTTAGCTTGCCGGGAGTTTCTATTATTTCCAGTCTGTACGTATTAATTTTCTGTAAGGAGGTAAATATCGCCGGATCATCATTTCACGCATGCTCTGCGTATCTACCTGCACGCATGCAGGCTGGTCAACGAGGCTCGGATAACGAGTGGAAAGTCCACTGACGAATTCTCTTTCGGGAAAAACTGTGGAACGCAGAATTACTGGTTTCAAGCTTGAGCGACGAGGTCAGGCGGGGAACCTGAGAACCACAAAAGAGGAGGAATCTGTGAATACCCTATATCTCGTATCGTCGCATCGTACGTACGTTTATACCTGACCACACGTAAGACAAGAGGCCCCTCTCGTGGGGTATGTGCAACCTTAACGGTAGAGGAGAGGACCTCCTGCTGTCATATAGAGGAGCGAATGGTCGCGACGCCGGTCCAGTCCTCTATAAAGCGTCATCCACGTAAAACGTTCTGGTGGTGTGTCGTATTTTTTTTTTTTTCGTCACAAGGACGAGAGAAGAGACACGATTTCCGTGTGACACAGTGCATCCGAATCTGGCCTGTGACCAGGAGAGTTGAACGCCCGACGACGCGTGTCGCGTATCGGCTATAATAGTGCGTTTTATTCTTGTGTGTTAGTGCTCGTCATCCCCGTGACCCTCAGCATCTCGAATTATATTATTTATCGTAATTGAGAGCACAATGCGGTAAGTCGCGGTAGTCTGCTTGTATTTTTTTCACTGCTAAATAAAAGGCGCAGAAGCACAGTATCATTAAAAATCGCACTATGTTTGCCGAAATATCTCTCCATCAACTTAAAGAGTAATATTTAAAAAATGTTGACGTATATCTAGATTTCCCTTGAAAATTATTTTTTAATGATATACAGCGACTTTGTATCGGATCCAACAGTGATTAGATGTAAAAAATCTTTACATTATTTACATACTATCTGACTAATGCTCTCGATTATTACCTTAAAAATGACGTAGGATTCGGGTTACTGAAATATCCTTGAAATTCTTGGATTTCTCTAATGATTTTCTCTATCCGAAGAACACATTGAGATGATGTAATGCCCTGTTAGCGCATGTACAAAAATTTTTATACGTTTCGTTATTTTGCTAATATCATTTGCATTGTTATACATTCAAGATAATTTTGATTGCACGCATCTCGATCTTTGATTTCGTACAATGACAAAGATCCTTGATAAAAGAAATCAATAAAAAAACGATAGGAACCGATACGATTTGCAAAGAATCTTATCGTTTCCTGTCGTAACCTATTGTTCCGAAAGAAATATTATCATTTCTTATTATTTTCTTTTGTTCTTTGTTGAAAATGGATTCAATCGTACGACAGAATTTTGAGACAGAATAGTAATTTATTGTTTTCTATTTTGTTGGAATTTATCGAGAAGAAATGATTGAAAATCTCTCGTAATCAATTGTGATTCATAATAATAAAGGAAACTTTAAGTTTTCTATCGTACAATTACGAAAGAAAACCTACAATTATTAATCATGCATCAACCGTAGACGATTCAAAACTTATTTTATCATAAAGTTACAACAGAAAACGAGAGAACACAATAATTATTATTACTGCCGCGACGCAGCCACGACCGTGCCAGTATTTTCTCGTATAATATCATATAATAAGCATCCTCTCGATGGACAGTTGATATTTTAATAATAATTAACAATAAAAATATTAATGATAATAATATTTCGTATTTCTACGGATTTATTTATAAATGATTCCGATAATTGTCTTGATGTTTAAAGTTGCTTCATCGTCAAGAAAAGGCGAAAAGCACTGCGATAAATTTGCTCGGAACGGTAAAATTAACTTTTGCAATAATGAAACGATTATTAACATAATTGCGGATAACAGCTACGTCTCGCGTGCTGCAACGATGCAGGCACATTGCGTCAAAGTGTGCTAAATTTGTGAAGCTATATATATATGACACGTTGTGTTGTAAGATGCGTTAGGAATTTCAACATTACCGATAACGATTGACGATTTCTCTCTTGAAACATAAAACGCTACTTTATACGCGGCAATTTATGGCAATTAAACGAGGTATATCTCTCGCATAAATTTTCCGTGAGAGCAATAATCATTATTGTGTGTGTGTGTGTGTGTGTGTGTCAATTTTTATGTTAAAATATATTTATTAAACTAAAGAAGTACGATGGGTATATTAAGTCCGTAAGAAGAAACAAAATGGATTTCATGATACCGTCTCAACGAACAACTAATCCTAGATAACTTTCACAATTAATATACTTAAAAATAAAAGGTTTATCGCGAATTAAGTTTAAGCAGGCAACGTGTCTATTGAGTGATTTCAAGTTAGATAATTTTATACTACTTTACAATATATTACTTTAACGAAATTTGTTAATTAGAATAGTAGTTGTAATGCCACGCAATCCGAAAATCGTTGATAAATGATTATCCTTGCCATTTTGTTGAGAAAAAAATCTTGACGCACGCGCGCGCGTTGACTAACCGATCATTAAAAAGCATCAGAAGTGGGACATTCTGTACACGTGTATTATCTTACCATTGCTGCTTTATCGCTACTTTGACGTAAGAAAACGTAAAGTCTAAATGAACCTCGCGATCGTTCAAGCTAAACTGACTGAGTAAATAATACCCTTGAATCTTCAGTAATTTCACACTTCTGATTTATTTGTACGAGAAATCTATGACTGTATCTCCATATAAAGATATGAAACACGTCATAAAAAAGTATCAGCTTAAGCAAGATCATAATTGATTTATAATTGAAAGATTGTAAGCTGAGCGATAAATAATTTTTGTAATATAAATGAAGAAAATATTAAGATTATACTATTTTATACAGGGAAAATTTAGAAAATTGATTTATTGCTTAATTGCTTTGTGATATACATATACAAAATGATTTTAGAGTGTAAAAAAATGAAGATCCAAATATTTTCCAATTAATTCTCATTTTCAAAGATTAGAAATTAATTCTTTCTCAACTCGAATCAATTTACTTATTTTTTGTACTATTATACAGTGCCTAAGCAAATTTCAGACTCACAAGTTCACGCTCACGCATTGCATAAAACACGGACATACAGTATCTTTTGAGTTTCACTCGGTTATCGTCGTCGAGTTGTTATCTCCGTAATTTATCAGATTTCACAAAACGTTATAATTCAATTTATACACATGCTTGATGTCTTCCTGAATGAGCTACTTTTGTTACAGATCGAGAATGACAATCTGGAACGTGCTGCTCTTACTGCTTCAGTTAGTTGTTTATAAAAGTCGATCAGGTGAGTGATATTTTTCATGATAAATATTAATTTTGCTTGCGACATTGAACTGGAGTTTTCACTTTTATTCTATTTCCGTACATGCCTGGGTCATATTTCTCTACTTTTGATCTTGCAACAATTGAGTTTTTATCCTGTAGTTGAAAAATATGTTCAAACATTCGCATTCCGCATCTTTTATCTAAAATACTCTAGAATAATACATAATTAAGATAATTTATAGCGCAAATATAATCAAATAAAATATAACTTTCAAAAAACAAAATTAATTGAGCAGTAATTATCGGAGTTATCTGCTCTGCGAGAATTAATAACATAAAGAAATGATCGCGCGTACTAGCTGAGAAACTAGTTCGAAAGTCAATCGAAATATTTATTAAAAATATTTATTAAAATATTTATTAAAAATATTTATTAAAAATGTGGCTATCAAATATTTTTTAAACTTTCATGTATGCGCATCTTGTCTAGGAATGCGTTTAGATTGAAATAAAATAAGGCTTTAGAGAGAATCTTTTTTTTTTAATCGGCATTTATCGGATTTTAGAAATGGTAATAACGGCGGACGATGACTTTGGTCTGGCACCCATTGATCCCGAAATTGCCGATGTCGTTGACTGGAAGCGTCACGCATGTCGACGAACATGTGAGGATGATGCGGCGCCTTTGGACTGCTATTATACCTTCAAGCTGGAGTCTTATCATACAATGAGCAAGGCGTGTTACGACTGCCCCTTCAATATTACAGACTGTTTTCGGCCTCATTGCGTCCCGGCGGACGGCATGAAGCGATCACTCATGGTCGTGAACCGGCAAATGCCAGGCCCGCCGATCGAGGTAATATTGAAAAACAAATTTCTGTTAGATTTTTGCCTGTGCTCCTGCTTCATTCACTTTGATATCATTTTCATTCAGCAGGAAGATCATGAGTCATCTTTTTTTTGTTTACAAGTTTATGTGGTATTATGAAAATTCACGAATAAATATAAATTTAAATATCTTATTAAATTGGAGAGGTAAAAGATGTTAAGCCCCATTTAATTATACAATATTTGCTAGTTATCCCTCTTTCGATCTTCATCTCTTAATGTCTTAAATTTCGCGAATATAAAAAAATTATTTGGAAATACGCCCAAGTTGTTATCACTCATTTTATCTCTAATTAGTATTTTCTTAGTCAGATTGTTTTTAGTTCGATCAATAACATAAAGAAATGATTCACCACTTCGTCTGCAGAGCTTAATTGCCACTCGCCAATGCTTCCTCATTATACAATGACATCACGAGAGTAGGGCAGTGGAATTCACTTTGCAAAGATCGTATTTCCTATAATTTAATTCACTTTGAGGCCGAGATCTTGTAATGATTGTTTAACGAGGATTACGAGGAATCATCCGCGTGACGTTTATTTTGTTTGTCTACGCGCACACGCATTCGTTCGTTTCCCACCTCTAGATTTCGCTTGCAATTTCATCACAGTTAGATACGAAAATAGAATTGTTCGCAGTGTCTGGGAACATACCGTGATTCAGTCTCGCGTGTATAATTTTATTTTAATTACAAGCCACGAACGATCGTCGATAATGATATCTGGTCTGCGATCTAATTTTAGCGCGATCTGCGACAAGCGGCTGCCGCGAATCAGCGCAAATCAAGCGTGATGAGAATGAAAAATTTCAAGGGGAATTACTTTAATTATAGGTGTGCCAAGGAGACAGGATAATAGTTGATATGATGAATTTATTGCACGCGGAAAGCACGACGATGCATTGGCACGGCCAGCATCATCTCACCACGCCGTACATGGACGGTGTACCCTACGTATCGCAATGCCCTATCCATCCTGGAGCGACCTTCCGATACAATTACATCGCCACCGAAGCCGGCACGCACTTCTGGCACTCTCACATAGGTACGCTAAGTCCTTCCCAAATATAATCTGATATTGTTTGTGGAAAGTTAAAAAAAAATTGTTTGAATTAACGAATTCGTTTAATTAATAATTTATTGATAGCTATTAATAACATATTATGGCAAATGATTTGTTTCCAAGAGTCTCGTTTGTAGGGTTTTGTATTGCATATCTGTCTGCAGGATTTCAAAGAGGTGACGGTGTGTTTGGCCCGTTGATCGTTCGTGTACCTCCTAAAATAGACTGGCACAAGGATCTGTATGACTACGATGAGTATACGCTAGTAGTCGCTGATTGGATTCATGAACTAAGTGTCGCCAAGTTTCTATCACATTACCATGCGGATGGTCATAATAAAGCGCCGAACTTACTCATAAACGGTCTGGGCCGTTTTATTCAGGATGAAAATGAAACTCTGACCGATATGCCTATTACGACGTTCCTCGTAAAACCGGTAAATTTCCAGGAGAAAGTATTCGTAACATAAAAGGCTGACAAATGTCTGTAAGATGTTTCACATTATTCTATTTCGAGTTGGTGCCCGATTTTAAAATAAAGCACACACAATTATTACTTTTAACACTTTTAAAAATCTTTGTTTTGTTAAATGTGTATTTATATAAGAAAAAGATAAAATATTTTCATCAAAGACAAATTAAAAGAAAAAACATATTTTATTTAGCAAAATTTTCTGAAATATCTTCGATGTTATTAAAAATACGGAAAAGTGTTTCAAATTAAAGTCAACTAAATATCTTACAGATCAATTTATTTCAAAGGGAGCATCTTATAGTTGGAATAACTTTATTCTAAAATTGCTTCTAAGGTTTAGAGATTATTTCTATTTTTTTTCCTCGTTTAAAATAAAGTTATATAATTTGTATGTATTTTTATACATCAAATTTTTATTCTTCATTTGCTTGCAGAATTTCCGATACAGATTCAGACTTATTAATGCAGAATTCCTGAATTGCCCTATAGAAGTTTCTGTCGACAACCATACTTTGTACGTAGTCAGTTCAGACGGGCGCGATGTCGAACCGGTGCAAGGTACGATTTCACCTTTACGTGCCACTACTTTTTCACAAAATCGTTTATCGAAAGTGTCATTTTTTGATACATAAATATTACGTAACGATTGCAGCCGAATCATTGGTAAGTTACGCCGGTGAAAGGTTCGATTTTATAATTGAGATGGACCAACCGGTGGACAATTACTGGATGAGATTTCGAGGACTGATGGATTGCGACGACAGATTTTTGAGTGCCTATCAAGTCGCAATATTGCGATACGAAGGCGCACCTGAGGAAGAACCGCTGTTAGAAGTTTCGTACAATCGTACAAGAAATGATACCTATGGACTAGTACGTATATTGATGTTTTCATGCCCTCTTTATAATATCTTTTAAACAGTTTCTGATGAGATGTTACTTTACCTTCATCTCAGATTTCTTTAAAAAAATTTAAAAAACAACATTTCTGGTTTCAGCAAGTAAACGCTCTAAATGAAGGAACTGAATCGAATAACAGCATCAGTATGCCAATGTTGAATGCGACGGACAACGATGACGCTTCAAACACCAGAGAACCTGATTATCAATTTTACATATCGTACGATTTTTACGGGAAGGATAATCCGCAATTTCACCGCAAAAATTTGTATGGCTTCAATCAAGGTAAATATATTCAAATATTTAAAAATAATAATTTATAATAAAAAATATATTCAAAAATAAAATAATATAATTAATTTTCTATGTCTATTTTACATGAATGTACGTTATATCTTTTAACAAGTCTATAACTAAATGTTTAATTATTGAAAAGTATTTTACTAAATAATGCTTTCAATTACTTTATTTTACTGTACACATACATATCGTTTATTGTTTCATAAAACATTTCGATCGTGAATTTTTAGTGGAACAACAAGTGCTCACACCGCAATTGAACCACATATCAATGAAGTTACCACCGTTTCCTCTCCTATCTGAAAGACACCTTATTAAACCGGATCAGTTTTGCAACTCCAGTACGGTTGAGGAATGCGAGAGTGATTATTGCGCTTGCACTCACGTGCTTCAAGTTGAGACCAACAGCGTAGTGGAACTAATTCTGGTCGACGAAGGTGTGTAAGCAATAGATATATCTTTCGTATTTCTGATTATTTAAACTCTGTCTGAGCTTTACTATAACTAGTGTAACTAATGATCCTTGACAGGTGTTGCCTTCGATGCGAATCATCCGTTTCACCTTCACGGTTATCAGTTCCGCGTGGTGGCTATGGAAAAGATAGGATCTAATACTACTGTCGCTGAAGTGAGAGAACTAGATAATCAAGGTTTGATACACAGAAAACTCAAACGAGCACCTCTGAAGGACACAGTAACCGTGCCTGACGGTGGTTATACTATTGTACGATTTTACGCCAATAATCCAGGTAAGAATTCACAATAGCATTCATATAAACAGCGGAAAAAAAGATCGAGGGATCAATATGGCCTTGGAAATAATTGAATTAATCGATATTCTTCAGGATATTGGTTATTCCATTGTCACATCGAGTTTCACGCGGAGATAGGAATGTCGCTGATCTTCAAGGTGGGCGAAAACAAGGAGTTGCCACCTGTGCCTAATAATTTTCCTAAATGCGGGGACTGGAAACCGCCGGTTGATGACAATGAGGACAAGTCCGAGACTACTCAAATTTCGTCGACCGAAGAAATGCAAATGTCAGGATACGACAAGCGTATCGCGGATATGATAAAGCAATTCGCGATGTATCTGACATATTTTGACCAACTCTTGAAAGTACAGACATCCTCGGCATCAAGTTCGAGTGTAACGTTACTGCTTTTTATCGTTTGTCTTTTGAGTTCTGTGATTCGCGTGCAAACATTTTAAGACATACATCTACGTAAATAGCCCTAAAGTGCTAAAGTCACATTATGGAAAAGCTTTACAGCAGATTTACTCCGATATGATCACAAATTTGTTGGCAAGCGTTTCCTTTTCTTTCGCCTTATTTCGAATAAATGTGACAATCATTGCACGTAATGTATAAAAACGTGATCATAAATTAAAATAATCATGTGCCAATACAATAGACGAACGTTTAGTCATAACTATTACGAAGTATTAATATTTATAGAAAGCATTCGTCCACATTTTTATTTTCGTTGGTCAGATAAGTGCAACCACACACGCAAAGCCGATTTTAGACGAAATGATAGAAATTTTTTTAATATACTTCGTGATATTGCGTATTTATCTCTGACGAGCGAGCGGACGTTATGTTAAACAAGTGATTTACATTTCTGTGATATAAAAATAGATTACGATTATTCTATAATTGCCAGATTATCAATTACGCTATCCGATAATGTAGACGCGGTGTTATTCTAACTTAACTTTTATTAATTTCAATAACGAATCGATTTTAGTTATATAGCGGAATCGATATATCCTCCGCAAGGAAAATGTCAGGTGGTAATAATATACTATTCGTGATTCAGAAAAGAACTTGCAAATTGGAAGAAAGAAATAGACAATAAAATTATCAGTTTCAGATGATTTTTCTTGAACAGAATTAGAAGCTACTTATAAAAATATATAATGTTGATACCGCTATACATTTTCTTTAAGAAAAAGTTGATCAAACTTCTAATAATAGACCAAAGAATCTTTTATTAATTAATAACAGACTAATATATTTTAAATCTTATCTAAATATAATCCTATAAAAACGGGACCATCTTGACAGATACCTGACTGTAATTATTACAACCACATATTGTACATATAGCGTTTAATCTAACATAATCCATAGACGATTCGTAAGCGCGTTATCAACTGTATGATTGTGTATTCTTTACTTTGGATATGTGTATGTGTATTTTTATCAAGGAAATGTGTATCATTATTTTTAAATATACAGAATATCTTTAAATTCTTATCTTCATTCTTGAAAAACTCTTTCTTAATTAAAAAATTACTGATATCTCGATTTTTGTTAAGAAAAGATCGACACGTATGACATTTTGTGATATTTATAGAGGATACTCGCGGAATGTATTTGCAGTCGTAGTTGTAATATATATAAACTCATCGTTTACAGAAATCGATTTATCCGAGTTTGACAATTGATCATATATCTAACATGCGATCTCAAGTATGCAAACGGATCAAGGATCCAAACAATGTCCCCAACTTTTCTACGCGAGATTGACTCTTGATACAATTAATATTTATTTATGATACTCGTAAAGATTGTTTCTTTTATTGTGTGTTTTTTATCTCTCCTATAGAATCTGTTACTACGCATACATATATACGTGTAACGTGCATCTGTATCTGTTTATACGCATTTACCAAAGGCTTGTCTGGACACACCAATCGGGTATTCCCCGTGATGGTACTTCCACTACACACTATACAACGCACAATATCATCTGTTTTCCCGGGGAACTCTACGTCATTATCCAAGCACATTGGCAACCGCCAATACGCTATTTTTTTGCCTAATCGTACTTTTAAGAATACGTTAATAATAATATTCAGGAGTATGTCGTGCGATGCTCGAGGACGCTGTCATTTCTGCTGCAAGAAACATACCGTGTCCGTATTCGGAAGCGACAAGGAGACATATACGCTTCTACAAAAATTGAATTTCAGACTTGTGGTAAGCACATATAACACTATATACGATAGACAGCAAGCGAGTATCGTATCAATTACAATTGTTCTGCAAGACCTAATATCGATTTGTGGCTTTCGAAGAATTTGAAATTAAAATCTTTTATGCCAAATCTAAATAGGCAATAATTAGAAAAATATATCTAGGTTGAAGATAACTGACGTTATCTGCAACGAGATTTACCTATAACGCAAAATTATATTATGTCTTGAGAATTATGTCAAATGTAAACGTCAGATAAAGTGATGTCAATTATCTTTATACAAATTACTGAAACGCTTTTCGACGAGTGTCATCTATCTATTTTATCAGGATACAAATAAATGTTATAATAGATGACTGTGTAATAGAGAAATTTATTGAACTATTATAATTTTTGTAACATTTATTGTATTTATATTTATTATTGTAATATTTTAAAAACAACTTGTAAATTATATATCACATTGTAATTACCTCTAGAAACCATGAAAAATATCTTACGCTAAATAAAACGTATTTTGCAAGTATTTTGCAATTCATTTAAGACGCATTTAGAAAAATCGGTGGACAATCGAACTTATATCTTTTCATTTATCCTATCTTATTACATCTTATACATAAATAGATTTTTATAATTTTAATACTTTGCTTTTGTCCTTAGGTTTTGAACACAATTTGTTGTATTATACCTTGTATTATCAAACTCGAAGATAATTTCAAAAGAAATTTTCCCGATATACGTTCACCTTTCGAAAAAACAACTGTCAAGGAAGCTTATATCGAGAGTTCAACGGGATCTACCACCCATCGGAATAACGACGATTTAGAGATAATGGAAAAGTCGCGAGTCAACGAAAATTTTCAAGCTGGGAAAGCCACGGAAACTGACGTTGAACCCGAAAGAAGCGTTGATTCTATTGACACAGAAAATAAAGTCGGTACCAACGATTCGCAAGTTCGCAAAAATACGGAAAATATAAGGAAGAAACAATTAACATGCGAATTCTGTCAAAAAGAATTCAATCACGCGGGGGATCTCAACAAGCATAGGAGGAAGCACACCGGTGAACAACCTTACGCGTGTAATATGTGCGAACGGAAGTTTAAGACGTCGTCTAATCTCGTCAGACATCAACAAATACATCTTGGGATAAAGCCGTTCTGCTGTCAGATTTGCGGACGCACTTTTACCCGAAAAATCAAACTTTCCGCCCACTTAATGGCAAAGCATCACGAAGCTTTGAAATCTAATCGGTCAATGATATAATATAATGTAATATAAATTATGAAGTAATGAGACATATAAAAAAAAAAAAAAAAGAACAATAATAGGCTGTAATAAATGATAAGAGTTAATAGAACTAACATTATTGTAAAGGGGAAAAAAAAAGATTAATAGAATGTATTTTAATATTACGTATTAGCCACTTAGACATTGTAGAGTGGTTTCTAGAACCGTGGTTTCTTGCTACGTAATGTTTGATTTGCTTGCGCAAGACAGACTATTTTATAAATCTATATAAAAATGATTTATTTGATGACAGTTGTTTGACAACAATATATATAATATACAACTACCTCTTTCTCGCTATATCTTTTGCAATAAACACAAATAAAATCGTTTAAAAGATGTTACTGGTACGAGCAAATACCATAATGCCTTCGAATTATATCGTATTAATAAAGTAAATCTGATATACGACGGAGAATACGTCAACTTTTTCCATGAAAATACAATAAGTTACCTGTCACTACACATTAGTATGCACTTCCTGATTGGCAGTCATTGAGAAAAGAGTATACGAAGTGTCTTTCTGCGGCGGGCGCTGGAGGGGATGCGCCAGGAGTTTTGCCATATTGTCGTGTATCTTAGCAGCGTTTCTGCCTACCTCGAAGATATAAGAGAAACTCGTTGTGTCTAGAGCCGCGATTTCGGCGTACACCGCCTCGCACATGTTGTCGTCGCTGGGCGGTTCGTGGGCGAACAGCACGTCCAAGAAGAAGTACGGATTCTCCGTCAGATTCTCCAGATACTTCTGCCCGGTGTGGAACTTCGGGACGGAATTTGATCGTCCATATATCAGGATGACGCGCGAGGTGAAGGTCGGTTGATTCCTCACCGGCGTCGCAATCCGCGCGTGTATCACCTCGAACAGCGGCCCCAGGTCGTAGGTCTTCTGCTCCTCGTCCGGCACATCCTCCGTGATGCTCTCCAAGTGGTTAAGGACGGTCTTTGTATTGCTGGTGTAGTCGCAGAGCCAGCAAGCGCCGCGCGAGTTCAGGCTCATCAATGCGTATTCGTGTATCCCAGGCTGTATGGTGGACTTGGCGCTAACAAAGTTCTCCACCACGCGTTTTATCATGAACAACGGTAGATACGTCGCGCCCGTTCCCAGCTTGAAGGGCGTACATTGCTGCTCCCTCACCGTGTCGATGACGAGCAGAATCTTCTCGGGTAGATTGAGTTCGGGCACGTTCCTCACGCGGGCATAATCGTCCGCGGGAGTCGTGGTGGCGGCGACTCCAGCTTTTTTGCTGTCCACAGGCTGACGCGCCGCATCGTTATTATTGTTCTTTCGCGAGCTCTTCGCCTGCTGCTGCTGCTGCCGCTGCTGCTGCTGCTGTGATTGGGCATTGTTGCACGCCGATTCGATGGTCGTGACGCTCTGGAGTCTCTCGGATATTACCTGGATCTCCTGATCGGTCGTCTCCTTGTCTGACATGTTTATATCCTATATAATTATCCGCGAGCCGCGGATAAATCTAACCTCTCTTCGCGCCGCTCGAGATGCCAGTGTAACTTTTCCTCGAGCAACGAATGTCCCGGGTCGTTTCGAAACAATTCGCAAGCTTCACATAGCGCGTAAATTTCGCGCAGGGCTATGCAGATAATTTAAAATTGAATCTGTGTACTCTTGACGACAGTTATGTCAAACAGATCTACCTCTATCTCTAACCTCTACCAGAGAGAAACCTGAGAGTGCTGAGAGAGGCCACTGGCCATCCCGGCTCCCGGCCTTTTTCGTGTGTTGCCAGAGAGAAACCTGAGAGAGGCCATCCCGGCCTTTTTGGTGTGTTGCTGTGTTGCATTTTCCGACGCGCCGCCTGAGAAAATGCAACTCAACTACGTCGTATCGCTCGGTAACCGCACATGGTTTGCGTCCGTGCTAGGTTCGTGCCGAAGCCGAACTAGCCAGCTGGAGGGGATATTCTGGCCGCGGCGGCCGCGCTTCCATCTTGCGTATTCCAATTAATAACGAATTACGATAATTAAAATTACAAAATTAAGATTACATTCTTCAAAATTATTACGAACTTTGTATCTCATAATTTTGAAAAATATAATCGTAATTTTATAATTTTAATTTTCAGATAAATGTCAAATTTTGCAAGCAAGAAGCTATTATTTGAGCGTTGATTCAAACCTTCACATTTATGTGAAAATTATAATAATTAACGATAATTTTTAAAATGTGAAATTCTATAGATAAAGAATAAACACCGTTATTATCTATTAAGAAATCGTCTTATGTTGATTTCGTATAATATATCCGGCATTAGTATCATACAATTTCAAATTTATTACACGTTTCCTTATAATTCCTTATTACAATATAATTTTCTTATAAATAATGTTACATATGGACGGGTAAAAGCCATAGTGGTGTAAGTCAAATTTTTGAAAATATTGTCTTGTATGCATAGATGCAATTTATATATTGTATAAATTTTGATCGCATATAAAGCTAAGTAGCGAAGCACCTCGCGAGGTAGAGAAGTGTTTCGCGAGGCAAGGGAAGCATCTCGCGAGGCAAAGGAGCGTCTCGCGAGATAAAAGGAGGGTTTCGCGAAACAAGGAAAGCATCTCGCGAGGCAAAGGAGCGTCTCGCGAGATAAGAGGAGGGATTCGCGAGGCAAAGGAAGCATCTCGCGAGGCAAAGGAGCGTCTCGCGAGATAAGAGGAGGGTTTCGCGAGGCAAGGGAAGCTTCCCTCGCGAGGCAAAGGAGCGTCTCGCGAGGTAGAGGAGTGTTTCGCGAGGCAAGAGAAGCATCTCGCGAGGCAAAGGAGCGTCTCACGAGGTAGAGGAGCGCCAAAAATCCATAATTTTGATCGGATATAAAGCTGAGTCTAATCAACCGAATTTAAAAAAATTATATATAAAATAGGAGTAGAAAAAACTGAAAAATATAATAAAATTAGAAACAGATAGATATCTCCAAATTTGCTTAAGTTAATATGTTCAGAGTATTCTAAAATGTCGAAACATTGCATTAAAATCGCATGTCCGTACGTATATATGTACGTATGTGCAGATTTGATGTCCGAGCTTGCTCCAACTTCCGCAAATTTGAAGATATCGATCTATTTCTAATTTTATTATATTTCTCAGTTTTTTCTACCCCTATTTCTTATATAATTTTTTAAGATTTGGTTGATTAGACCCAGCTTTATACGCGATCAAAGATCCATAATTTTGATCGCATATAAAGCTAAGTCTAATCAACCGAATTTAAAAGAATTATATATGAATTATATTTTTCAGTCTTTTCTACCCCTATTTCATATATAATTCTTATATATGCTAAGTAGCGGAGCACCTCGCGAGGTAGAGGAGTGTTTCGCGAGGTAGAGGAGCGCCAAAGATCCATAATTTTGATCGCATATAAAGCTAAGTCTAATCAACCGAATTTAAAAGAATTATATATGAATTATATTTTTCAGTCTTTTCTACCCGTATTTCATATATAATTTTTATGTATGCTAAGTAGCGGAGCACCTCGCGAGGTAGAGGAGTGTTTCGCGAGGTAGAGGAGCGCCAAAGAGCCATAATTTTGATCGCATATAAAGCTAAGTCTAATCAACCGAATTTAAAAGAATTATATGTGAATTATATTTTTCGGTCCTTTCTACCCCTATTTCATATATAATTCTTATATATGCTAAGTAGCGGAGCACCTCGCGAGGTAGAGGAGCGCCAAAGA